AGCACTTTGCGATTAAAGGAATCCTCTGGAAGCGCGTACACAACGCCCACCCTGCGGCCCATGCAGATAAACTCCCTTGCCTCGCAGTGCAATTACCAGCACAATCACATCATGTTCCACTGGCGGGAATTAAGATGCTCTCAATGAGGTTGCTTCATTAAGACACCTTCCTATAAAAAATGCACACTTATACACAACATTTATTCTGAGAGGATTCATTTGCACCAATGTCCTCAGACACTACAGTGTTGTGTGTGTGTGTGTGTGTGTATGCGCATAAAGTATGTTTAAGCTGGGAGGTTTTAGTTAGTTTTTAAGGTTTTTTTTAGCACTGATAGTTTAACAGCATTTTCATGGCTCGAATGCTTGGGATTATACGTACCTTTTCTCTTTACTGCTGAACTGCATCCATATTTGATTTTTACTCGTTACTTGGGAAATAGACCCAACAAGCACTTCCCAGGGACAAAACATCCAGTATTCAAATGGCTCAACAAACTTTAGCTAGAACTACTTTATAATGTTGAAAACAGAAGTATAATTCCTGTGCCTGTCAAAAAAAAGCTACACACACAGAAATAAAAAAAGAAATAAAAGAAGAATCCATCCTTGCTGTTGAAGCTATGTGGAAAAAAACTTGGCATTTCCCTGCTTACATTATGGTAATTCACATTGGAGCTGTAGCAGTAGTGTGCATTTCATAGAGTAAGAGATTAATACTTGCACTGCAGCTCAGCACCCCTTTGTCCCCTGGCCACGTTTTTATAAAGCTACAATATTGCCAAAGAAGCTTTAATTCTAACCGGTGCCCTGGAGACAAGTGTCAATACACAGTGAACCAAAAGGAAAGTCTTTCAAGTACTGTCTGCTACTTACTCCACTGGTAATGGAGCTAAATAGGAAAAAATATATACAATCAGCACATAACTCTGCCTCGGGTTGCGTAGAGTGTCTTTGTTGAGACTTGGAGAGCGAGTGCTTATTTTGTGTCCATCATTCTTAATCATTTGCTCTGTCTTAAAGCAAGAGCTCCCTGCAAAGAGCGGTCACAAAGGCGCTTGTTATATTGTTGCTGAGCTTTGAGTGACACCTTCAAAAGATCTCCTGTCAGGCGGGTGTTTTCTACACGATTGATGGTAATTTTGTGGAAGGTACCGTTTTTGGTGGTTTTTTTGTTTGTTTATATAGTTTAAAGACTTGTAGGGTAAACTGGTTGGGTAATTGAGCTGCTTAATAACATCTAACACACACAGAGAGTGATTTGTGCTTTTTGGCAACCTAGCGTTTTATTACGATGAGGCTCAGCACTGACTCAGCAGCACATTTAAGGCACAGCTAACAGGTATATTTCTCTGCTTTCACTCTAGTTTTGTGTGTGTCATCTTTAATGGTGAACAGCATGAAAAGCATGTTACATTTAACACATTGGTTCCTCATTATGCAGCACTGTAGTAAGAAGTCATGTTTGTCGTTTAGTACTCTATGTTAGGCCTATGGTCACTGGATTATTGAGCTGAATCTAAACTTAAATAATCACGATACATTCATTTTTCCTGCTTTTTTAGAGAAACTGGACCTTTCTCTCTAACTGTGCACAAATGTGTTCATTTTTCATTCATTTCTTCCACCTTCTGACAATAGTCACATGTTACATTCAAAGCACAACCTCTGGGACTGAAAAATGAAGCCACATGTAATTGCCAAAAAATACCCTTCTTCTAATGACCACTGGTTTCAAACATGAGTCAGTCCCGATTGCCTCCCATGTCAAAATGCTTAACTTTATATGCATTAAAAAGCATGTTTACAGCCTCAGTTTCCCAATTATGATGTGAAAATTCTTTCTGGATACTGAACAAAAACCTCAAGAGTGAAGGTGTCATATTCGACCTGGAGCCAGGTCGTCACGGAAACTCTGAGAAGTCAGCTGTGAGACGAGTGTACAGGAAGTGCAACTACAAAAATATTTAGCTTACACAGTCTCATCAAATGTCCCCTTCCTAGCGGTTCATGTCCTGCTCGATGCACGGTCCGCTGTTTTGCACTCCTTCCTCCACTTCATCTTCCAGAGCATCTTCCAGTGTGACGTTTGCAGCCTTCATGTCATTTTTGATTCATCCAGTGCTGTTTTGGTCTTTGCCGTGTCCTGTTGCCACCCAGGTCGTGTCATGTGAGACCCAGTGGCTACCTCAGCATCTTCATCTCCATTGTGTGAAGAACTTGCTTATGCTTGGTAGTCGCTGGCTAGCACTGCGACCTGTAGAATGCCACTGGGAGCACAATCGACTTGTAGACTTTCGCCTTGAGGTAGATTGGCATCCTCTTGTCGCACAGGACTCCAGTGACCTGACGCCACTTCATCCACGCTGCGTTCACACAGGCTCTGGAGTCTGGTAGGGTTTTGCAGTCCGAGGTGACGAGGGACCCGAGATATTTGAATTGGGTGACTTTGATCAGTGGCTCGCCATCAATGGTGATGGCACCGTCGTTCTGGGGGACACTTTCGAGACTGTCTCATCAAAAATATTGCACCAAAATGAATTCACCCATCACCGGTCCCCAAAATTGTGTTTGAAGTCCTTTGGTTGGAAATTATAGCACAGCCATTATTTTGTTGTTACCTTTAAAGGGATTGCTTCAATGATAAAACACCATTAAAACGTTAATAAGGCAGCTTGGACTGCTATCAGTCTGTTTCCATTTTGCAAACGAAGAGGATCAAGCTGGAAATTACATGGAGTCTGTTTGTGATAATATAGCGGTTAATTGTGGTAAGTCTGCAGAAATTGCATGTACATACACAGATATTCATATTAACTACTTCCTTTCAAGTTCAGAGAGATGTCTAGAACCGCACAGATCGGGAACAGAATTTAAAATAATTCCCCCAGGAACAATGAGGCAGTTTAACAGCGGAGTGAAATGGGTCCTCAGCAACCTGCTTTTATATGCCAATGTAACTGGAATACAACCAGCTGACAGACAGTTACGTCTGGCCCACTGCTGCAAAGGCATGCACTGCAAATGAGCTTCGCTCATCAGTGCAGACTTCACTCACACTGATTCGAACATGTTGGTAATTTTTCTGCATTTAGAAATTTGACTGCAGTTATTTTCAGACCTTCACCAATCTGTCTGTAAGTGGTTGTTGTCGGTCTGAGTCACACGGAAACTGCTTGGAGACAAGTTGCATCCCACCAGGTGACCTGAGCAATCATCTTGATTGATCGACAGTTGTCGCTGCATTGAAACTAAAGCAGTGATTTCTTTTTGGTTCTTCTACACCAGCCTGTTTTGGATATAGACTTTTTTAACTTACACCACACCAGTACCAGTTGATGTTTATTTAATGGATATCACTATTTCACTGATATTCATCCAACAGCTTCCAATGGGCTCTTACTCAGTCAGTTGCCACGGGCCTATGGCTTATGTAGCTAAAGAAAAGATAGAAAAACAAATGTCGAGGTTGAGTAGTCATAGACAAACTGCTGCTATTTCATCAAAGTTTGTCTGACACCGTGTTTGGCATATTTGTTGATGCTATTTATGTGGGCACAGCTTCACATTTTAAAGCTGTACCCACCACAAAGTTAATCATCTTTTGTCCATCTGCTAATGCTTTGATCATTTGCTGCAGCTAATGATCCATGCGACAAGGTGAGAGTCAGTGGTACAGGTCTGACTAGGGGAAAAAATCAATATCAATTACACCTATATCGGAGAATTGTCAAAACTAAATGCCCAGGTGTCCCTGTCTCACCAGTGTCTGCCAATAGCTTTGACTGTAATTTTTTTTTTTTTTTTAAAGCGCATACCTGCTTTATCTCTAATTGACCATTAACCTTGATGCATGCAGCGTCACGAGAAAATAGAAGGCAAGTTTGTTTAGTCACAATGCTGCATGAAGCATCTGAGAAGGCTTTTTTTCTGCAGTCGCACCGCATTCGGTGAGTTTTAGCATCCAGGGTGTGCGCTCCACAGCTGGGCTTGATTTATGCCACTGACAAGGCCGTTTCTCTCCAGCACAGCACACTGTGGGGAAGCTCAAGAGAGACAGCCTTTCAATTTATCTCAGACGGCCCCTCCCCCGGCCCGCACTTCAGGGTTTTTAAAGCAGTCGAGAGCATAGATCAACACCTGAAGTTAGGTCCCACCCCCTTATCCCAGCTCAGAGGATACGGTGACCTCGCCTCCTTCTTGGCACCCTCACCACATTACAGCTTCTGGCCTCCAGCGCTGTTAGTGATGCTGACGCTTTGATATAATTATGATTAGAAACGCTTCCTGCAGGTAGGTCGACGATGGCCGGCGCAGGTCGGAAATAGTAACACGAGAACACCTCACCTTATCTGTGAGTTTACCACGGAAGGCAAACACAATATCAAACACATCCCCCGCAGTACTGTTTTTTTACCCCTCCACACTTTCCACATTGAGTTAACTGGTATTTGGAAGTGAATGGCTGCCGAGGTAGTGAGTTGAGCACGCTGTTTGTGCTCTCAGGCAGTAATCTTTGTGTACAAAAGGCTTTAGCTGAGACTAATTATTTGGTGAAATCACCGTAAGCTCGCGACGATCTCTCTCTTCCTGTGGTCTCATGGCTGAGTAATTCCACTGATAGAATCTTAACCCCTATTTTCACAAGCCGGCTTTATTTACCCTGTTAATTAAGCAGAGAGGCACGCCTCCGTCCTGCAGCCGCACCACCAATCAGCCGCAGCATCTCGGAATCACCGAGCATTCAAGAACGTTCCTGTTTGGAACTCTCGAATCAGATCTGATCTGTGATTACGCATATTGTTTGCATGTTGAATTCTGATGAGTGCGCGCCTCTTCTTCGACGGCGACTTAGCGAGTTAGCGTGTTTATGTAGAGGGCAACTTAATATGATTCCTCTGTTTGAGGCGCCCACCGTTACAAACTCGTTCCAGGCCCACACTTGGTTCAAAGCTGTTCCACTCAACACGCAATTTCCTTCCCTTTTTTTTAATTACAGATTCATTATTTGGATTGTGACAGTTTCCTCTCGACATCCAGAATTTATCAAACAGATCAAAGACAAAAATATGTCTGAATGAAACATCAAAACAAGGCTTTCAAGTGTTTGTTTTTTTATGGTAAGGAAGCTTGCAAAAAGGCAAAGTGTGCATCTGTTAACATCGTCTCAGAGAGAACGTAAGGAAATCACAAATACAAAAAACACAAAACATAAGGCTTTCAATTTGGACCGGGCTCTTCTCCTGCGATTTCCACTTCACAGCACCTCGTGATAGCTGCTCTGTGACTGATGTTATTTGTCTCTTTCATCTTGGTGGAGAGCAGGGAGGATCAACGCTGTGCAGCCCCTGTCCTCTGAGGCTTGATCTCCCCCCCAAAAAATACACACCTGTGTTTTTTGGGATTACACGAGTGCATTCGGACATCTCGCCGTGTTCAAAATAATCGCCTCCTTTTGGAGAGAATTACAGCCGTGTCCATTAAACCGTGTGAGGCAGGGATGAAAGGAGTGGCACTTGTGTTCATCTCACCTGTGAATTATTGATACCTGCCCCCCACCCCCCATCCTCTGGATTCTCCCAGGACCAGGGTGGAAAATGTCTCCTTGCATAATGGGCACATCGCGCAGACATGTTGTCTGGGCTGCAGCGGAGGAGAGAGAAGACAGGGAGCAAAACAGAAATGTGTTAATAGTGTGCCTCCATCTCTTATTCAGCACTCCTGCGCCTCGGCTGACTTCTACTGTATTTGACCTCATCTTTTCTTCCATTAGCTTCAGACTGAAATGACGAACACTTATGCAGACATCCAGTCTGCTCCTTTTCTCTGTGATGTCAGTGAAAGGAAAGTTCCTCCCCAGTCTTTACATGAATCTACAGAGAAAAGTACACGATACGGTGAATGGCCGAGAATAGTCTTGGCTCTCTCTCCTTTGGGCTTGCACCACTTGTTCACGCTCTTACAAGACGCGCCATCACATGATGGCTTTTTCGTCCCTGAGGGTAATGGGATGGGGGATATACCGCGCACCGCGCACAAACGTGGGTATTTAGTTATGTTGAGGAATTACTGTGAGTACCGTGCTGCAGGTAGACTTGATCTGGGTCAGAGCTTGTTCTAGTTAAAGCAGCATGCCTTTGCGTGTGTTTACGCTCGTGCTTAATTGATGCACACCCTTAAATTTCCTTTAAATACCACGAGTCATCACAGCAGCTCTGCTATAAACACGGGAGTGGCAATGCAATGCAATTCAATTAATGTACAGCAGTTGTTTTAATTGTGCTTACTCGGCTCTGTGTTACGGCCACTTGTAGGGCCGCAGTGCCATTTAATGGGCTGCTTTCCTCATAAATATCAGCCTGCAGGTTTGACGCCATTAACTGTGCGCCAGCCCACACTGCGATATGCCCCCGTGTAACTGATGGTCATTGTTGGCTACTCTGCATTCAGCACTTTTCTCTCAGCCTGATATAAACCCAGAAGTATCCACTCAGCAGCACCATGTGGTTTTAGAAGTAGATTCACTTACACTAACTACCTCTGCACTTTCTTTCTTATCGCATCCACCACTTGAAAAGAAAAACCCAACAAAGAGGTGGGGTGGAGGGGGAAAGATAGTGTGCCACACTGTATCAGCCACATTTCAGCTAAATGCTCCCAGTTAAACGCAAACAACCGTTCTCACATAACGGTGATGAAAGCTGATGAACTCAGACTGCGTCAGCAAATATTTGTAACAGTCAAATAGCTGTTTCGAATAGGTTTTTAAACCTGGTTGGACTGTTAATTACTGCAGTAGTAGGTATTTGGATACAGTGCTGACAGGTAGTTTTAATTGGTGCTTTATAGAGCAGCAGCTATTAAGGTTCAGAGGAACAGCCCGGCTGATTCAGATATTACATTTCAATAACTTTTACTTTCTAGCGTGATTACAAAAACAGAAAACTAATTTTAAACAGGATTTTCTGGAAATCTTAAAATTGCCATACTTTTAATTGGACTCTCTTTCAGCTGCTTTTTTCTGGCCCAGAGCCTCACTTTTTAGATTGTCTCTCATCATATCATCTTATCCACAGTGCATTTTTCAGCCAACAGGCGTCTGTTTTCAAGAAAATATGTCCATGCTTTTGTACAGTACACTACCTGCCCAGCTCTAACAGCAGCAAGATAAAGCAAAAAATGAGCTGGTGAACACGGAGGCACATTATCCACAGATATTACAGAGAGAGAGATAGCACTCAAAGACTCCTGAGTTGAATTCTCTCTGTGGGGGATAAAAGGGAAAAAAGCTTTTTAAAACTTTATGTTGGGTCAGAGTCAGTCGCATTTGACTGGAGACTCTATACATGTAGCGTTTTTATCCTGGTGACCATTAAAATTAAAGTTCATTTAAATAATTGTGCACAGTAAGTGCCCAGAGCCTTTGATTTAACAGCTGTAGACACACGTGTTTCTAAGAGTCAGATAGAGAAACACAGATAAAGGAAGATTTTGTGCACACTCATTACTTTTGGTTCCCACAAGTCAGATTTCAGTGTTATTGGGAAATAGTTCTCCAGGCTTTCTGACATTGGCTGCTTTTTCCACTTATTTTCAGTTCAGTCTTTGTACCTGATCATTTTCAGAGGAATGATATGTCAGCATGTTGTGTGCCGTTAAAATCTGAGGAAACTAGACAAGTAGTGGAGAAAATAAGAAGTGGCAGACCACCTAAAAATATCCAATGTCCTTAATAAATAGAAGAAAATCCAGCAAAGACCTGACACAGGACCTAAGTGAGGCACCTTTATTTAATCCATTTACTATCTACTCATGACTCATCAGGATTACAGTGGAACTCAATGGAACACTATTGAGCTCAACATTACTAACAGCGTGGGATTATCCTGACAGAGAAGGGACGAAAAGGCAGCGAGCATCCAAAGAAGAGTTTTGGATGTCCATCAAGAAGACTGGAGAACTATTCCTGAAGAGTCTGCTTAAACCTATTACAAGAAAGCTTGTTTGAGTTCCATACGAAACAATGACTTCTAACCTCATTAGAATTGTACAAACTCTGTTTTTGCTCGTTACACCGTATTTCTATTTTTGTTTGCATGTTTCAATAAAGTTTTACAAAGAAATGACATGTGGCTCAAGACTTTTACACATATTCACCAGGTGACCAAAAATATAACTCCAGATGTTGCTTACTCGAAAGAACGTTTTAAAAACAACCTTTGAAAGCAGCGCTCTTACTGTAATTCTGATATTGTGACGATGGTTCATAAGGACAAACTGAAAAAAGCTTTGAAGTTTACTAATCTGACATCCACTCCTCAGTTTTGCATTTCATGACCCTGAAAGATGACTCTGATTAAATGCCATGTAAATCTTCAGGGAACAATATGCTAATGTTGCATTCACAGCTTTATGAGCCTCCCCTGAAGTGGCTCGCTCACACTTCTTCATTTCTGTTTTATATGTTACTTCCTGTTTGGAAGTTAATGACTAACTGATATTTACCTGCCTTTTATCTCTGTTATACTCTTCGTCCTGATAAAACCTGCTTTTTAGCGCCTAATTGCTACACACTCTTAACCAGCTAATTGCTGCCTGATGACTTGCCTTTGAGAAAGTGGCGTCCTGTGGGTCTATCAGATTCTGTTGCCACTGAAAAGGACACCGGTTATAGCAGCTAACATTTGTTTTGTTTCTTTAATATAGAGTAAGTGGTTATTGCAGATTTAGGTGTTCGTATGGACTAGCAGAGGGTCTTCACCCTCACTGCAGGCCTCTATTCGCTTTGACTCCTTTGACTGTTTTCACAGGTGAACGGGGCAGTTTAGCTGCCACACATCATGTTCCCCTCTCACAATCAGGCTGACGCCATTATACAGTTTGCCGAATCAGCAGAGCGTTTCAGATAATTAAAATTCAGTGCGCTTTGATGAGGTGGTCCACCCTTGATTTCCCCCAACACTTTGCTTTCAAGGGCACAATTTCCATTTTTCCTCGTTATTTACAAAATGTCAACTTTTGTTAAGGCCTTTTGACCTTTTTTGAAGCACTTGTGGCTGTTGTGTAAAGGGCACGGAGCCACTATTGTCCTAGATATCTCCAAGTCATGTGTTGAATTAATCAGCCCTGAAAATACACTCCTATTTCTCATTGTTGTCATCTGCAAAGAAGCAGAACCCAATTAGAGACAGTGAGAAATTTTCTTTTCTGCGTATTCGTCACTTATCTTTTGTGCTATGTCAGCCATGCCACGTAGTTAAAATTTCACAATGCATGCACAGCAACATTTGTTCTTCTTACAAAAATCTGTTGCTTTGACAGTCACATAAATTATTTCCTTTTTTTTTTTTGTAACCACAGAATCTCCATTCTGGACAACGGTAGTCTGCGGATATGGAATGTGACCAAATCTGATGCAGGCCTCTACACGTGTGTGGCAAGAAACCAGTTTGGTGTGGCAAGCAGCACGGGAAGCATCATAGTTAAAGGTATTTCCTGTTCAGCCTTTACGATTCACCACTTTTGCTTTTGCAGGTTTTTCCATCCCATATTGGTCACCTCTGTAGTTATAGAGAGAAAGGGATTGTTCTCCAACAACACGATGCCAATAATGAGATATGTAGATAGCTGGCTGACTGCTTGAATAGTAAAAGGAAACATGAGTAGTCTTCCTGTACTCATCTTTGTGGATTATACAAGGCCATTTTGTCAGCCTGGAACCTTTGTATTTTGTGCAGTGTTTTCAGTTCTTTTATTGTTTTGGTTGATCATGTCTAAACCTCTAAATCACTCAAAACTACCTGGTTAGACTGAGGCCCGAGTCACACAGGCCTAGAGATGGTGGACAACCATTTGGTCATGAGAGGAAAATGATTGCTGGACTTTGCTGGGGCTTGATTTGAAATCAGTCATTAAAACCCCAGTTATGCACACGTAGAGAATAGTCAGTGACTCACCGGTGGCTAGTGAAAAGCGTGGTTGTTGGAGGTCGCTTGCTCCTAGTAGAGTTGGTTGCAAAGTCCAACTTTTCCGCAAACACCAACTATTTCCTAAGCTGCAGGGAAACTGTGAAAATTTTGACATAAACTGGAAATGCAGATTGTTTGCCTTCAAAAGTTGCAGCTTGTAAAATATAAAGGTAGCAGAAGTAAGTCACAACTTTTACTTTGAAGGATGACAAGTGACAAGTGCTGGCAGACAAGTCGGCATCTTTCATGCAAACTACAGGTGACGGTGGAGTCTCAAGGAGGACTCAAAGCATTTAACTTTATCTGAGGAATCTAAGTCTACCTTGTTTACACTGAGTATTGCTCAAATCTTACTGAAGCTGAATGCTGCTCTTTCACCCGCCTCCAGTGGCTCCCTGCAGCTATCAATATGGGAATGAACGTTTTATGCATCATTGCTTTAAGTTATATCCATCAAATCTAAAAACGCGTAGCTTACACTGAATCAAGATCAGATTTGTTTGCTTTCACCAAAAGCATTACTGTTTTCATAGTATGCCTGATCTGTCGCTCTACTGCTTTGTTTTTTACTTCTGCTAATTTTAAAACTGTTCATCTGCTTTATGTTTTATTTATGATCAAAGTAAACTACATTTAAGCTGATAATTTTCACAAATACCAGCAATGTTCAAAGTGGTATGCAGAGCTTTAGAACTACTCAGTTTAAAAGTAAGCCTGTTCAAGCTAATAGGCATTTTTTGCTCCCACTAAACCGTCGGAGTGCTGTGTTAGTGACTGAATTAAGTAAACAATAGAAAAACAATAAATTTTAGTTTTATAGCTTCATCAATTAAATAAAAACAGTATTATTGCAGAGTAGTCACAAAGATTTTAATTATATACTGAATGGAAATGTTGATAAGCTAATTAATACTTAATAGGCTTAATTATAAGGTACAAATATGTTTTGCTCCTCTGTACAGAAATTTTTGCCTATAAAAGCTCGCTGATGCTTTTTTGCCAGTCCCTTGTTACAGTAGGTTTCGCCACTAAAAGCTACTTGAATAGATGAAATTACGGAAAATTTATTTGATGCTTAAATTTATTTAAGCATCATTTTTCAGATTTTTGCATCCAGATCACCCAGGAATTTGACAGGTGAAGTGTTGACTGGATATATTAAAGTTGTGACAATAATAGTTATTTAACATTTTCTTGCTCTTTTAATATACTTCTTATATGGTGTTTTAAGAAATTTGCAATATCCTAAATCTTACTGAATAAGAGTCCTCCGACCCATTCTGTGGACAAACATCAATCTGTCTGCCTCACACATTCTTCAACTGCCCAAATATTATAAACCTTTTGTGTAAGATGTTTCAGACTTTCTGTAGAACAGATTCGGTTTCTGGATTCAGTTCTGGAATAGCTCTATTTGGGGTGAAAGCAGCCACCCTGGAATCATCGAATAACCAACAATCAATCACACATTGGTTTGTTTTGTGTTATTGCTCACACAAAGACTCATTTTGCTGACTGGAAACAAGAGAAACCACCTTGTTGATGAAATATTAATATTAGAAAAAGATCTAATTCACACTGAGAGAAAATGGGAATTAATTTTATACAATATGACAGCCTGTAATTTAATTTCAACTCACCAGAGACTATTTGCAGTAATGCTGATGACATCCCCTTTTTTTCATTTCATTACTGTACCTAAAAATCCCAATAAAGACAGTTGGAGGGAAAAATTTGTAACAGCTCCTCTAAACATTGACCAGTGACAACTTGGGAGTGATGGATCAACTTCTATAAGTAGCGCTTTTCACAGGCTTAAAACTCACAAACCGCTGTGCAACAATTAAAACACAATTAATATCAGTCTGTAAAGTAAGACATGACAGCGGCTTTGGTTAAACAGCATGTATCAGTGCCCCAGGAATGAAACCAGGCTGCTTCATCATGGAGACAAAGCTCTGGAATGAGAAACACATACAGCAGCTGCAGTGGACAGGAGCCCACACTGTTCCACTTACCTTTAACATTACTCCTGAGTGACAGTGCAACGCCTTTACCTATAGTAGCACCTACAGACTACCAACCTACTGCTGCTGGATACCTGTTTTATTTTCCTTAAAATAAAATAGCCACAAGTGTTTAATTTTCATTCATAAAAAATGGCCGACACAGAAAAGGGGCACGTTTTATGAAGCATCCAAGCATCCCCCAATCTCCATCTTCTGATAAGTCCCACAAAAAGCAGGTTTTTCCCCCCTCTCTCTCTGTGCTGTCATTACTAGACAGAGACACCTCAGCTGCTATGTCTGTTTGCAGAGATGTTGAAATCATTCGGCTCACTGCCTCGCTGTGCCCCCCAGTACCAGCAGAAGGATATACTGCGAGAAAAAAATAGTCTTCGTGTTGTTGGATCATCTGGGTTGGGGATTGCATTTCTGCTCCGGTGCTGTGACTTATTATACTTCATTAAAAATAAATGTGAGCTGGGTATAAAGTGCGGTGCATTCTGCGGCGGCTTTATGCTGTGCACACCGCAGCTTTTCTGTCCCATTTCCACAGGGGATAGTGTTCTCACCTCGTCAGGCTCCCGGAGGATTTGCTGACATATTCAGTGAACTATACCCTCACTGTGACCTCCTTTTCACAGGGGTTCCTGGGCTCATTTGTGCTATTGTTACATGTTCTGTTTTGACCTTCCTCGTTGAGCAGCTTCTTTTACATTTATAGAGTTATTGATTTTCAGTATATTGCCCTCGGGGAGAAAAGTTCATGCCTCATATTTCAAAAGGTTTTTCATATAAAGGTTTTCTATATAGATTTGCATGTACTCTGTAGTTCAGGAATTTTCACACAACGCATACAAGTGCAGTTCTCGCAGCTACGACTGCATTTCACACCTTCTACTCACCGCCTAAGAGAGAGTACGATTCACTGTAACCTCATATGAACATGCAGAATACATTGATCATTCGTCTGCGCTGTTATTAAATACCCGTGGGGGGGAAAGAACTACACAGGTCAAAAAAAAAAAGAAAATCTAATAAAATCGTGCCCAAATCCTTCCAATACCCTGTGTGAGAAATACTGCAGCTAAAATCATTTTTCATAAAGTCTCGAAGACAGAGCTGCTTCTTCTTTGTGTGTAGTTTATAGTTTTTGCTCAGAGGTTCAATCCATTAAATTGTCCTTCTTCTACAAGTTAGCAGTCTGTAAAATCCTTTGAAATGCAGTGTCAACAGAACAGTCTGCTACCATATCAGGGTTTTTTTCTCCAATTATCCAAGTAGTTGCCATAGAAACATGGATTAATTGACTTGCTCAGCCCCTGCAGGCTAGTGTTTGATTGAATACTTTAAAAAAAAACATTGATTAATGTCAATGAGAATAACAGCGAGAAGAAAATCCTGTTATTGTATCTATATGTTCATTCTCCTTTTTAGCCAAAAACACGTCACATAATGGAATTTTAAATAACTCTGTTGCAGCTCTGTCTTCTGTAAATCACTATCAAGGCGTGTTTCCTTTTTCTGTTGAATTATAAAAGACAGATTTCATATATTATGAATGCCTGAAAGTCAGCAACAGTCAAGGATGTGGGGAGAGCTTAGAGTGCACCTTGCCGCTGATTTATGCTGATGCCTCGCTCTGGCTCCCATTGACGACTCTGCCGCTCTACCAAATGCAGTACGCCTTGCATAATAGAAGTGAGAGAAATTAAAGGATCACGTAACCTCAGAAATTCATTGGTGACACCTGCAGCCGTTACATGAATTGCAGTTATTATTCTGTTTCTCTGGGTTTGCAATGGCTTTTGCATGACTTATCCTACTCAGGTCTTTATTTGGCTGTACGAGATATCTTGCGTCTGCGCTAGCAGGCACGCTAGCACTAGGTACAATTTAAAAAGACCAACTGAGATCAATCAAAATTGATCCTAAAAAAACCAAACAATGCCTCGATTAAGCAAATACTCCACCCACGTTGACTGCAGTTTTTCACTCATGCTTAAATTTCAATATGGCCAAACAGACTTCCAGACTTTTATGTCAAAACTGGTTAATGTTACCTATAGATAACATAGATATCAGAAAATGGACAAATTACGTAATATCTAACCACAGATGGTTTAAAACATGTGTATAGCATCCAGGTTGGGAAAATTAAACCAATGGCAAACCAGTGCCTTAAATCTGGATTCTGTGTATAGGACACCAGATCTATGGTCTGTGCATTACCATAGCAACCAGAGAGCGTTAAGGGGCAGAGAGGAGGATGCTACTCTCAATGTTGTTGCTGCTTTTCAGGAGGACGCAGCTGAAGTTACACAATTACACAGTGAATTTGCAATTATTATTATATTTACAGAATACCACAGTTTTTGTCTTGATCGTATCATTTAATTTTGTTGTATTTATCCGCAACACCTTAAACGCTGGTCCGTGAAAATATTGTCTGACGTTAAACCGGTCCGTGGCGCAAAAACGGTTGGGGACCGCTGGTCTACGGAACAACAGCTTTCC